AGTTCGAGCCCCGCGTCGGGCTCTGGGCTGACCGCTCAGAGCCTGGAGCCTGTTTCCAATTCTGTGTCTCCCTCTCTCTCTGCCCCTCCCCTGTTCATGCTCTGTCTCTGTCCCAAAAATAAATAAACGTTGAAAAAAAAATTAAAAAAAAAAAATAAACAAACATTTAAAAAATGAAACACGCACCATATACAAAAATTAACTACAATTAAATGAAAGTCCTGAAAGAAGAGCTGAAACCATAAAACTCTTAGAAGAAAACATAGATATAAATCCCCATAACCTTGTATTTGGCAGTCATTTCTTATATAAGACAATGAAAGTGGAAGCAACAAAAGGAAAAGTGAATAAATTTTGATTTCATCAAAATTAAAAACTTTTATGCTTTCATAGACACCACTAGTAAATAAAGTAAAAAGTAAAGTCCACAGAATGGGAGAAAATAATTTGCAAATCACATATCTCATAAGGGTCTAATATCCAGAATATGTAAAGAACTTTCAATAACTCACAAACAGAAAAGACAAATAATGTAATTTTTAAATGTACAGAATGTTTGAATAGACATTTTTCAACAAAGAGGATAAACCATTAGCCAACAAGCACACAAAAAGATGCTCAATATCATTAGTTATTAGGTAAATGCCAGTCATAACCACATAGAGATGCCACTTCACACTCACGAGGATAGGTTTTGGGTTTTTTTGTTTTTTGTTTTTTAAATTGTTTTTAGTGTTTTATTTATATTTGAGAGAGAGAGTGTGTGTGAGCAGGGGAGGGGCAGAGAGAGACAGAATCTGAAGCAGCCTGCAGGCTCTGAGCTGTCAGCACAGAGCTTAACATGGGGCTTGAACTATGAACTGTGAGATCATGACCCGACCTGAAGCAGATGCTTAACCAACTGAGCCACCCAGGTGCCCCATTTGTTTTGTTTTGTTTTGTTTTTTAAGATAATTAACAAAACGGTATGGTAATTGTGGAAAATAGTTCACTTCCTCAACAAGTTAAATATAGAATTATTATAATATCCAACACTTGCACTCTTGGGTATATAACCAAAAACAGAAAAGTATTTTCAAACAAAAACTTGTGCATGAATGTTCATGACAACACTATTCACAGTAGCCAAAAGGTGGAAATAATCCAAATGTCCATCAACTGATAAACAGATCACCAAAATGGTATACTCATATAGTGGAATAATATTCAGTCATAAAAAGGAGTGAAGTACTGATACATGCTGTGCTACAGTGTGGTTAAACCTTGAAAACCTGCTCAGTGAGGGAGGCCAAACACAAAGGGCACATATATGTGATTACATATATGTGAAATATCTAGAATCCATACAGACAGAAAGGTTGTCAAGGACTAAGGGAAGGAGGGAATGAGGAGTGTTTACTTAATGAGTATGGAGTTTCCATTTGGAGGAGTGAAAATATTCTAGAAGTGAATGGTGGTGATAGTTGCATATGTTGTGAATGTAGTAAATGTATTAATGGTGAGTTTTATGGTTTGTGTATTTTACCCCAGTTGAAATAGTGTTTGTTCACAATGGGATGGAGGTGTAATGAAATGAGTGAAGAAGGGAAGTCAGCACTAGGTGCAAGAATCAGAGCAGGGAATGGTATCAGATGGTTAGATTAAGAGGACACTTCTGGAAAGGGGCCTCTGTTTTGGCCACTGACTCAGTAGAGAAAGAACTGTAGTTGAATTGCCAGTCCTCAGTTTTAGCGACCTACACCCTGGTGGTGGTAAAAGTCTGATGTCAGTAGCAGACTGGATTCTTGCTGAAAGTGAAAGCAGCATATTATTTAAAAGATACAAAATAGTTCTATCCAGTGGGACTTTACACAGTGGTGGAAATGTTCTATATCTGTGCTATTCAAGTACAGAAGTCAGTCAGTAACCGCATATGGCAGTTGAGAATTTGAACTGGTGCTAGTGCTATTGAGGAACTAAATATTTAATTTTGAATTAATTTTAATTTAAATAGCCACATATGACTAGTGTCTGCTGGCAATATATTGGAAAAGGCTGACAAAGTACATTTCTACCATCACAGAAAGTTTTATAGGACAGTGCTGTATTGAGCAGGATAGGCCTAGTATAAGTAACCCCCTTCCCACATCCATAGGAGTGAAACAGTTTATCACATGTCTGCCAATTCAGACTCACTTTGAGGATTGACAGTTAGTGAGTTGAGGAACTTTAATGTGGTACCTTAATGTAGAAAGGAGAAAATACACAGGATGACTTACAGTTATCAATGCAGGCTGACTTTCTTTTCCACATTTGTAGTAGGAAAACAGAGGTATCTTTTATAAAATTTATGTAAGTATATTTTTTAAATATTTTGTATGTGTTTTATTTACAGAGGTAAAGAACTCAGAAGAACAGTATAATAAAATAGTAATACCAAATGAGGAAAGTGTTGTCATCTATTATAAGATTAGACAGCAGCTTGCCAAACTGGGTAAAGAAATTGAAGAATATATTCACAAACCAAAATACTGCTTACCATTTCTACAGCCAGGTCGTTTGGTAAAGGTATGTCATTTTTTTTTATAAATTATTTGGATGTTTCAGTATTTAATATTTTTTGGATCAAGATTTTAATTTTTTGTTTTTAATTTTTTAGTGTTTACTTCTTGAGAGGGGTGGCAGAGGTACAGAGAGAGAGGGAGACATAGAATCTGAAGTAGGCTTCAGGCACTGAACTGTCAGCACAGAGCCTGATGCAGGGCTCAAACTCATGAACTGAACTGCAAGATCATGACCTGAGCCTAAGTCAGACGCTCAACCGACTGAGCCACCCAGGCGCCCCTTAATTTTTTTTTTTTCTTGTAGAAATGCTTCCTGCTACAAGACTTGATCTATATTAATTATGTTGTTTTTACACATTTCACATGGGATTGATTGGGGGTAGGGTCATGGGTGAAGACCTTTTAATCTACACTGATTTTCATCTTGGGGGATATAAATTGAAGTAGACACTTTTGGAAATAAAATATTTCCAGTAATCAAAAAATAGAAGCGGTTTTGTAGGTAGTTTTAAGAACTGGTTGAAGTCATTAGCTATAAAATATAGAAAGATTTCAGATATTTTCAGAACATATGCATCATATCATTTTAAAAATTTGATTGCCAGTTGAGAGATTCCTATTGCTATTCTAGAGGCCTGTGAAATTTGGTGGTCATTTCTTTCTTTAAGGCTAATAATCTTTTTACTTATGTTTAATAGTGATCTTTCAACAAATATTTTACCAGGAAAACTCAAAGTTTTCTTAGCCTTATATAGGCCATATATAACATGGGCATGGAAGTCTACAATTGCCTTTTGACATAAATGTTCGTGTTTACTTGCTTCCTTTTCTTTTTAGGTAAAGAATGAAGGAGATGATTTTGGCTGGGGAGTAGTGGTAAATTTCTCCAAAAAGTCAAATGTCAAGGTAAGCCATTTCCCTTAAGGTAGAATCATATATAAATTTTTTGTGAAGTTTTTTCAGACTCATGAAATTGATCAAAGTAGAGATAGCATTACTTTAAGAGAAGCTGTATTAAATTCTACCATGAGGAATTAAGGTTTTGAATTATCTTAAATTTTATCCTTAAAGTGCTGTGGTTGTTTTCCTAACAACCACAGATTTTAATTTCATTACAGTATGCATGTCTTCTCTGAATTCATTAGTACTTTTTATAATTTTACTCTCTAAACTGAATATTAGAAAAAAATTATCTTCTGACAGTGAAAATTAGAATTTTGATTCAGGTATATAATAGAGATTTGAAGAAAAGGTATTAGAAGAGCTAGATTTACTTATTCCCTCTAAAGGAAGACAGTAATGAAGTTTACTTTGGTCATTATTTATATAAATATTTTGGAAAGATTATTTGTATATAAAATCAAGGAAGATTTTGTTAACTTGTTACGTGAGTGACTGTCTTGAAATTAAGTTAGCCATTCCGTCTATTATATTTTCTGTCAGTGTGTAACCTCAGGCAAGATATTTTGTGTTTCCATGTATATTTTTCCTTATTTTTAAAAATGAATAGTTTTCATAAGATGGTATCTGCATTTTCATGAGGTTTACCATTATGATTTTGTTGTCATTAACTTCTTTTTCCCACCTGTGAATAAAACATGTAGGAATTAAGCTTTCGGATTGGAAGTTATTCCTGATAAATGTAAATGAATTTGGAGATACTGAAGCATTTGTTTTGGAGAAACAATTAAGTTCATGGGTTGGTAATGGGTGTTTTTGTGAGTGATCTGTGATTAATCCTACTGAAGAACTTCTTTTTAAATTTTTTTTTTTTCAACGTTTATTTATTTTTGGGACAGAGAGAGACAGAGCATGAACGGGGGAGGGGCAGAGAGAGAGGGAGACACAGAATCGGAAACAGGCTCCAGGCTCTGAGCCATCAGCCCAGAGCCTGACGCGGGGCTCGAACTTACGGACCGCGAGATGAACTTCTTAAGGATATTCAGTTTGTTTTTACCATTTTGATAAATCACCATCTTCATTAGTAATTATAAGATTTGTTTTTTAAGTATTGTCACACTTGGATCCCAATTTAATAAGCATTCATTGGCCACATGCAAAATCTCTGTGCTTACATCTTTTGGTGAACAGCAGAAAGCAGATAATTAAAATAAAAGGCAGGATAGTATAAGTATTTTAGTAAAGATGTAAGTAAAGTGCATTTGTAGCACAGAGGAAGAAGAAATTATGTCTGAGCTATTAGAGATGGCATCTAATTAGGAAGATAATTTAAACTTTCAAAGGAATCTTGAAGAAAGAGTAGTATTCATTTAATGAATATTTACCACTGGAGGAGCAGCGATGTGCAGCAGGCCCAGAACATTTCAGTTAAAGAGTAAAATTTTTAAAAGTATTGAAGTTAATCATGGAAAATAGTTAAAATATACATTTGAGTGTATTGGGTCTCAATCTAAACATGTGAAAACAATGGTAGAACATATGTTTGAAGATGAGTTGGTTGGCTGATTGGTTTGCTTGCATTTAGTTTGGGTGTTTTTTTAATGTTTATTTTTGAGGGAGGGATTGATCTGATCAGAAGTTTCTGTATTGTTACAGTGTTTGAAGGATACTGGAAGAGATAGCATAGTAGACGCAGGTTTGTCAATTTAAGGAGACTCTTACTCTTTCGGGAGTGAGTCAGAAGGAGGATGGTAATAGAAGGGTTCACATGGTGGAGACTGAGGAACCAAAATGGACAGACTTGTGTGGGAAGTTGGGGGGAGTGTTAGTGATGGTAAGGTTTCAAAAAAAGTTGGCTTTATTGAGTCTAACAGTATTAAACTGGATAAAGTTGCCTCTTTCATTCTGTCCTTCCCCTTTTTTAAAAACACATATTGAGGGGCGCCTGGGTGGCGCAGTCGGTTGAGTCTCTAATTCTGAAGTTTTAGGAAAACACTACTTTATCTGCGGTCTCAGAATGGTGGCTCCGCTGGCCGGGCTCTGGCTGATGGTTGCATTTCGGAGCCTGAGCTTTCATTCTAGGAAGTCTTCCTTTCCTCTTTCAAGTTCCTCCTCGTTTGATGTTTTAAGTTCTCTCTGTCCCAAAATAACAGGTAAACGCTGAAAAAAAAAATTAAAAAAAAAAAAAAACACATAATGAAGTGAAGCTTGGGATTTTAACCTTGACAAAGATTGCATCGGTATTATTCATTTGAGTTGTGACTAGCTCTGACTTAGAGCCTTTTATATTTTCTATTTCACTACCTTTAGCCATGAGAAACTATTAAATGCTTGCCTACCTCTTCTCCTTTCCATACACACACACATTATTTTCTTTAGGAATGATTATTAGTAACATAGATAAGATTTTCCTTGAGAAGCACTTTAAAGGATGGTAGTCTTTATTGAAACTTCTGACAGCTGTTAAGTTCTGTTTTCTGTGTACATTGGAAAGTGTGGCAGTAAATGCTAAATGTTGTGGTTCCATTCATACTTACATAATTCATGATGGAAAAGCCGTTGCCAGTTTATTCATTCCATAACTTGTCTGTATTTAAGGGAATTTGCTAGGGCAGAATATTTTTACCTACAGTGTACTGAAGTGCTATTTTTTTTTTCACTACAGGGTTTACATATTGCATGTGTTTCTTTTTTCATCAGTTTTATTGAGATAGTATTTACACATCCCACCCTATCTTCCCATACCCTCAGTCCTAAACAACTACTGATCTGCTCTCTATAGATTTGCCTATTCTGAAAATTTCGTTAAATTGAATCATCATGTGGTATGTGGTCTTTTGTGTCTGGCTTAGCATAATGTCTTCAGGGTTTAAGCATGTTGGATATGTCAGCACTTCATTTCTTTTTATGATTGAATAGCATTCCATTATACAGATACACTATGTTTTGTTTATCCTTGGACTGTTTCCACCTTTGGGCTATTATGAATAATGTGCCTGTAAGCATCCATGTCTAAGTTTTTGTGTGGACGTATGTTTTCGTTTCTCTTGGGTGTGAAATTGCTGGGTCCTATGGGTACTGTATGACCATTTAAAGAACTGCCAGGTTGTTTTCTCAAGTGTCTGCACCATTTCACATTGCCAGTAGCAGTGTATGAGGGTTTTGATTTCTTCACATCTTCATCAACCCTTAATACCTGACTTTTTATTACTCTTGATGTATAATGGTATCTCGTTGTGGTCTTGATTTGTATTTCCATGATGACTAAATACTGTCAAGGATCTTTCTGTGTGCTTTTTTAAATTTTATTTTTTATTTATTTTTAATGCTTATGTATTTTTGAGAGAGAGAGAGGCAGAGTGCAAGCAAGGAAGGGGCAGAGATGGAGGGAGACACAGGATCTGAAGCAGGCTCCAAGCTTCAGGCTATCATCATAGAGCCTGAGACGGGGGCTCAAACCCACAGCCTGCGAGATCATGAACTGAGCCAAAGTTGACACTCACCCGACTGAGCCCTCAGGCACCCCTCTTTTTATGTGCTTATTGGCCATTTGTATATTCTTTGGAGAAATGTCTTCAGCTCTTTTGCTTAAATTGAAATTGAGTTTTCTTTTTATTTCTAAGTTACGAGTTCTTTATGATACTTGATTTCCAAATATCTTTCTCCCATTTTCTCTTGTCTTCACTTTCTTGATAGTGTCCTTTGTAGCACAAAAGGTTTTAGTTTGATGTAATCCAGTTAATCAATTTTTTTTTTTCTTGTTACTCATGGTTTTGGTGTCCTATATAAGAAACTATGGCCAGGGGGCACCTGGTGGCTCAGTCAGTTAAGTGTCTGACTTAGGCACAGGTCGTGACCTTACAGTTCATGAATTCAAGTCCCACATCAGGCTCTGCTGTCAGCACAGACTTCGCTTCAGATCCTCTGTTCTATCCACACACACCCTGCTCTTCCCACCTCCCGTCTCTTCTTGTTCGCTCTCTCTGCTCTCTCTCAAAAATAAATAAACATTAAAAAACAAACAAAAAAAAGAAACTACTGCCAACATCAAGGTCATGAAGATGTACCCCTGTGTTTTCTTCTAAGAGTTTTATTGTTTAAGCCCTTATATTTAGGCCCTTGATCCATTTTCAGTTAATTTTTGTATGTGGTATAAGGTAAGGATCCAGCTCCATTCTTGTCCTAACCCTGGTTGTTGGGAAATTCTTTCCTCTTTAAATAATCTTGTCATCCTTATCAAACCTCAGATGATCATAGACATAGGTTTATTTCTGGACTCTCAGTTCCATTCTATTGACCTCTGTGTCTGTCCCAATGCCAGTATCATATTGTCTTCATTTACCGTATCTTTGTAGTTAAGTTTCAAAAAAGTAGACTTAGGAGTTCTCCAGCTTTGTTCTTCTTTTTCAAGATTGTTTTGGCTATTCTGGGATCCTTAAAATTCCTCATGAATTTGATTATCTGCTTGTCAGTTTTTACAAAGAAGTCAGCTGGGTTTCTCAGATGGCTTGCACATGAATCTATAGATCAGTTTGGAGAATATTGCTATCTTAACATAATAAGTGTTTCAATCATGAACATAGCATATTTTCCCTCTTATTTAGGTATTCTTTAATTAGTAATTTATTGTTTTTCGAGTGTGAATTATACACTTTATTTTCTGTATACAGGGCCCTGTTGTGTCTGCAAATAGAGATGGTTTTACTTCCCTCTTCCCAGTGTGAATGCATTTTAGGTCTTTTTGTTTTGTTTTTGTTTTGCCTAATTATTCTGTCTAAACCCTTGAGTACTGTATTAATAGTGAGCAGATATGCTTGTTGTTTTCCTAAGTTAGAGGGAAAATGTCCATGCCCTGTCTATTTTTTTTTTTATTTTATTTATTTATTTATTTTTTTAATTTTATTTTTTTTTTTAATTTTTTTTTTCAATGTTATTTATTTTGGGACAGAGAGAGACACAGAGCATGAACGGGGGAGGGGCAGATAGAGAGAGGGAGATTGGTGAAT